AATCTACTCTTGTTCAGAAGACTGAGGAGGAGTGTGAACTGGACGATTGTCAAACCTACCGACTCATATTGAGGGAAGAAATAAATAGTAAAAATAAATTTCAAAGTTCAGGCGAAGACGTTGGAGTAGACTTTAGAAGGAACAGTACATTAACTACCCTTGTATCATCTTAAACTTGTTAAAGAAGTATAAATTGCCCATTTTCACAAATAGCAATTCCCGACGACATGATGATTGCGTGAAAACGCATGAAACTTTTAGTTGTGGCCGATCAATGTTCACCCGGAATTTATTTAGATACAAGCAGCATGGCCCGGCGTTGCCCGTGCTTGATTCATAAATCATACGACACATACAGCAATCGCTATCACCTGACTTAAAATATTTTGCCCTTCCTTGCCTTTAAAGGAGTGCCGTTTGCCGTGCTGATGTTGCTACATGCCTTACTTCTTGCCTATCTCACACTAAACATTAAATCTGTTACGAAAAAAAAAAAAACGAAACAAAATGAACACAAAACGATCAGTTATAAAAAAAGACTCGTAACTGGAAAAACCGAATGAAAAAAGAATGTTAACAACAAATACTTTTTCACACCCAACCCAGTTCTGCGGAATCAGAATCAACGTTGAGTTTAAGCAAGCGAATGAGCCAATTGGAGTAAAGTGCCATGCAGATTTAAATTTTTCCTACTTGTGACGAATGCAGCTATCGATTTTTTTTTGCATGCTAGCATTCTAGTTAACATTCGTGTCAGTCACCTGTTGGCTCTCACGTAGGCCAATAGAATCTTCCTGCCTATTCGTGGCAGCCAGCTATAGGCTCTCACTCTAGCCAGTAAAAAATGGCCGCAGACTACATGAAAATTACCGTAGAATCATTAAAAAAAATCGATTATTTCCACTATCGATGGGAGTTGGGAAATGCAAAGTCGGTCTTGGCCTTCTGCTAACTTGGAGCATGTGCATGTAAATTTTGGTGCAAATCCGTCGAAAATTGCGGCCGTGCATTCGTTACACACACACAGACACATCCAGTCTTTTATAGATAGAGATATTAATGTTCTGACACTTAATATGGCATGAGGACACATTTTCTTTGGTCTGAATCTGTAGCAGTATTTTTTAACCGGTGTTCCCCGGAAACCTAGACTTCCGCAAGAGATCGCTAGAAGATAAGCAAGAAAGTGATAAATAGGCTAATGCATTTAAAAAGTAAGTTTTGTTTAATTTTATATTCGTAAATTTTTCTATACACGTGAGGTATATTATTGAGGAAAAAAAAACATTGGTTATTATAAAATAAAACAGAGATAGATATTAATTATGGTATATAATAGTTATTATGCAGAGTTTCTCTGGGACTTGAAAAGTATTTCAAGGATTTCACAAAGCACATTATTTACATTATTCGGAGTATTGTCCTCATCTTTGTCGCCATATTTATTACCTCTCTCGGACAAGGGCGTGTCCCGCTTTCTCTGCGACCCGATGAGCTCTCCCTGAATTGACGGGAAGTCTTTGTTTCAAGCCTGAAGGGATGAGTTGTAGGTCTCTGCATCGGTGTAGGAATGTCAGATGGTTCGATATTCGTGCCAGTTTCTGGTCGGATTTTTCAATTTGTCTCCATATTTTTGGTATATCGGGTCCGTACCGATCCTTCAGGGTCTGTCTATATTTCTGAGATGAGGTATTATGTACATTATTTGCATTATTCGGACTATTGTCCTCATCTTTGTCGCCATATTTATTACAATAAATATCTGTCTATATTTCTGAGATGAGGTATTATGTACATTATTTACATTATTCGGACTATTGTCCTCATCTTTGTCGCCATATTTATTACAATAAATATCTGTCTATATTTCTGAGATGAGGTAATATGTACATTATTTACATTATTCGGACTATTGTCCTCATCTTTGTCACCATATTTATTACAATAAATATGGCGACAAAGATAAGGACAATAGTCCGAATAATGCAAATAATGTACATAATACCTCATCTCTGAAATATAGACAGATATTGAAGGGCCGAAACGTTGTAATAAATATGACGACAAAGATGAGGACAATAGTCCGAATAATGTAAATAATACCTCATCTCAGAAATATAGACAGATACTGAAGGGCCGAAACGTTGTAATAAATATGACGACAAAATATGAGGACCATAGTCCAGATAATGTACATAATACCTCATCTCTGAAATATAGACAGATTTCACAATGGTATAAAGGTTTTGAAACTCTTCTCTTTATAAATTATATATTAGAAGCGATTTCTATCTACAGAAGTTAATTAAAACTTAACGCTGCTCATATCATTTAACGAAAAAAAAATAAACAGAACAGACTTTTGGATCAGAATAGTAGTTTGTTATTTTTAAGCATTTTTTTAAAATATCTGCCCGTTACGCTGAACATTAGGAACTGTCCACTGGTGGTTTCTTTTTTTTTAACGTGAATTGATTATAAATCATATGTCCGAATCTATGTGCTATGAAATAAATATCTACATGTGTTTGAAAAGTACTTTTTTATCACTGTAATTTCTCTTCCGTATATACCAGTGGTGGCATACACATAAACGTGAGAATATCTGCAAGAGAGCCAAAGAGTAGTTGTTTGAAAGCGAGCAATTGCGTGCTCTTTCCATATATATATACACACACACACACACACACACACACACATATATATATATATATATATATATATATATATATATATATATATATATATATATATATAGAGAGAGAGAGAGAGAGAGAGAGAAAGGATGGAATTTGTAATAATTGGCGTTTGTTGAATAAGAATGCCTCAGGCAGGCCCCTGCCTGTTATGTCCACCTGCTCCTCGGGTATCGGTTGACTAATAATGTGATGATTAATAAACGTCAAGGTGATTTTTTTAGTGGAAGCTGGTGGGGGATTCATTTTTCCTCTTTTGAAAGTTTTTTTTTTGTTTTTTTTTTAACGTCTTGGCGATTTTAGATTTGGGAGGAGAAGGCTCGCTGACTTTTCGTAAACGGTCAGCGATGCGTTTGGATCTCAGACGGAGACAGTAAGAACGAAGTCCTCCACCAGAAGATAATTAGATCGACAAACTTTTTTTTTTTTTTGATATAGCTGAAAGAAAAAAAAACTAAAAAAAAGGAAATAAAAATGAATTAGATTGGGCAACGGTTTCTGTGGCTGTGCATTTCAAAGAAAGGATAGAAAGACGAAAAGAAGGAAAAATAAATTAATGGAGAAAAATGAATTATGGCAGGGAACGGTTTATTTCGCTGTGCATTTGAAAGAAATATCTGAAAGAAATGCAAGAAGAAAGTAAAGAACGTCGAGAAAAAGACACTGAAAATAAAATAAAAACGGCAAATTAATCGCTTCGTAAGAGAAAGGAAATAATGAATGAAAGAATAAATAAATGTAAGAAGGAATGAAAGAAGAATAGAATGAAAGAAGGAATGAACGAATGGAAGTATAAAAGAAGGATACAAAGAAAAACGAAATAAACTAACAAAAGGATGGAATAAGGAATGAACGGAGGAAAGAATGAAAGAATCAAGGAATGAAGAATAGAATGAAAGAAAGACGAAAAGAAAGAGGAAATGAACGGAGAAAGGGTGAAAGATGGAATGAAGCGAGGAAACGAACGAAAGAATAAAAGAAGGAATGAACGAAAGAAAGAAATAAAAGAAAAACAAGAAAAAGAAATGAATGAAGGAATGAACAAAGGAATAGATGAAAGAAGAAATTAACAAATGAATGAAAAAAGGAAGGAATGATAAATCAAAGAAATAAACGAAGGAAAGAATGAAATTAGGAAAGCACGAAAGAATGAAAGAAGGAAAGATGTAAAGAAAGGGAATGATTGAAAGAAGGAATGAAGTTTTCAATCAAAGAATGAACGGAGGAAAGAATGAAAGAATGAAGGAATAAAAGAAGGAGGAAACAAGGTAAAGAATAAAATGGCAAAAAGAAAGAAGAAATGAACTAACAAAAGAATGAAATAAAGAATGAACGAAGGAAATAATGAAAGAAGGGAGGAATAATAAAAGGAATGAACAGAGGAAAGAATAAAAGAAAGAGAAAAAGAAAAAAGACATGAACTAAAAAAAGGACGAAATAAGGAATGAACTGAGGAAATGAACGAAAGAATAAAAGAAAAAATGAACGAAATAAAGAATAAAAGAAAAATAAGAAATGATCGAACGAATTAGTGAAAGAAATAATGAATAAAGAAAAGGATAAATTAACAAATGAATGAAAAAGGAAGGAATGATAAAAGAGATGAATGAAAGATGAAATAAATGAAGGAAAGAATGAAAGTAGGAAAGAAAAAAATGAAGGAAGGAAAGATCTAAAGAATGAAAGATTTAAAGTAAGGTAATGATTGAAAGAAGGAATGACTGAAAACGGGAAGAGAGGATTGAAAAAAGAACGAAGTTATAAATCAAAGAATGAACGCAATGAAGAATAAATGAAGGAAAAAATAAAAGAAGTGTGGGTATTGCAGGATAAAGAAGCTAAACGCGAATAAGATTATAGCTTAAAAACAGAAAATAGGAATTAGATTATGGAATATTTGCTCTCTAGAATCTTGAAAAGAAAGAAAGAAAGAACGAATTAGAGAATGAGTGAATTAATCAATTGAAAAAATATATAAAAAAAAAATTAAAAAAGAAAATAATTATGAAATATTTGTTCTGAAAAGAAAGAAACAACTGATTGATTCGTTTTCTAAGGCTTAACCTTTGCAGATTATTTAAAGCCAGAAAATATGCTTAGATTGTAAGAATTGTTTTCATTTTTGAGATAATAATGGTTTAGGGATACAAGTTTTACTAATTAACCCATAGTTGGGAAAAGAGGTGAACTCACACCTTTCCCAAATGATATTTGCGGGGAAGTGGATATAAAAACCTAATGAGAAATGGAAATCGGCTCTCCGATTAACAATCCTGAGCCATTATCCCGCCCGGACATACAGGTTTACAGCACCTGCTTTTCCCAAGCGTTCACCCATCTAGGCACTGATCATGTTCAGCGTTGCTTAACTTCGGTGACCCTACGGGCACTGGTGTTTCAACGTGATGTGGAGATAAGCCAGAAGAAAGAAAAAGAAGGAAAGAAATTAAATGATTGAAATTATTCTTCAAGTGGAACTATTGTGAGTACCGGGAATTATTTTTCATTTTTTATTTTAAGGACACACTTTTTAATCGAAAAATATTAATTGTCGAATTAATTAAACAATCGTTATCAAACACGTTTGTCCACATAAATGTAAGGATATTTTTTTTCTTTATGTCTGTGACTTAGAATTAGAAAGAGACAGCTGAAATTTCTCAGACACATAATGAGGAAAGAAAGTTTAGAGAACTTGGCACCCACAGGTCCTTTTGTGGCAAGAGGGACAAAGAGAAAAAGGTCAAATTTGAGACGTAAAAACCAATTCTTCAACGGCCTGACCACAACTTCCTATCCTTTGTAGCAGTTAATAAGGTGTGTCTTTTCGCCATCTGTTACGCTCAATGTTCTGATATCTATTTGCACAAACCTGTTAGAAAAAGGTTGAATGTTGACCATTTTTTGCCGTAGTCTCTGAATATGGAATCCAGTGAAGTATGTAATGTGTTCAATATCAGGGGTTGGCAGTGAAGATTCGGAGAAAGTAGCAGCTGTTTAGTAATTCTTTAAGTCTTCGATATCAGGTTGGCAGTGAAGATATTTTGGGAGAAAAAACAAAATGGCTGCCTTTATACACGTCGGATTGAATATTTGGAGCTTTCTGATTGGTTAACCCTTCTCTTGGTGGACTATAAAATGAGTCAGCATATTTTGGCTAGCTCACTAGTACAAACATGTATCCAAAAAACTGTAACATTGAAAAGATCAACATCGTATTTATACAATGAAAAAACCATGGAAACAGATCATAACAGCACAATAATTGATGTGGTAACGCAAAGTACAGAAGAAAAGAGAAACTTTTATGGTTTAGTATAATTTCAAATTCCCGAAAAAAAACAAAAAAACACCGTATTTGTATGGATTTTAGCTTATGGACTAGCAGCATGACCCGGCGTTGCCCGGGCTTGATTTAAAAACCGTACGACTCGTACAGCAATCGCTATCACTTGACTTAAAATATTTTGCCCTTTCTTGCCTTTAAAGGAGTGCCCTTTGCCGTGCTGATGTTGCTACATGCCTTACTTCTTGCCTATCTCACACTGCGAATTTTTTCTAAGCTCTATACTAAACATTAAATCTGTTACGAAAAAAGAACTAAACAAAATGAACACAAAACGATCAGCTTTAAAAAAAGGACTTGTAACTGGAAAAACCGAATGAAAAAAGAATGTTAACAACAAATACTTTTTCACACCCAACCCAGTTCTGCGGAATCAGAATCAACGTTGAGTTTAAGCAAGTGAATGAGCCAATTGGAGTAAAGTGCCATGCAGATTTAAATTTTTCCCACTTGTGACAAATGCAGCTATCGATTTTTTTGCATGCTAGTTAACATTCATGTCAGTCAGCTGTTCGCTCTCACGTAGGCCAATAGAATCGTTCTGCCTATTCGTGGCAGCCAACTATAGGCTTTCACTCTGGCCTGTAGAAAATGGCCGCAAACTACATGAAAACTGCCGTAGAAGCATGAAAAAATCGATTATTTCCACTATCGATGGGAGTTGAGAAATGCAAAGTCAGCCTTGGCCTTCCCGCTAACTTGGTGCATGTACATGTAAATTTTGGTGCAAATCCGTCAAAAATTGCGGCCGTGCATTCGTTACACACACACACACACACACACACACACACGCACACACACACACACACACACACATCCTGCCTTTTATAGATAGAGATTAGTAAATACACAAAACTGTTTAGAATAAATATACTATACTGAGAACTGTTCATAGAAATTCGATTCGACTGTTACTAACAAGATATCTACACAAATTCTTTTTCTTCTCTCGCTTGTGGAACTCTATTCTGGCTTCTTACTTTGATCTCCGAAGATTTAAATGCAAAGTCAATCGTTATCTTCTGTCTTCGTAATTCTAGTTCTTTTATTGTTCCCTCTCGTTATTATTTTTTCTCGTATTCTCTCGCACTCAGTAATCGCCTAGCGTCTTAGTGGCTTTATTGCCTTTCTTTAGGTGAAATGGCTTAAGAAAAAATATTTTTCGTTTTCCTTGGAACGATCGTTTCCTTTAGACAACATATTTCTTTTACGCTTGGTACGTACCGTGAAAAGGGAGATAATTCATTCAAGTAAACGGGGAAAGTTAAAATGGTTTACTATCTTCGATTGTCGCACAAAAATTACGAAAAAGAAAGACAACTCCGAATTCAAAGGCAATAAACTTACCTAGGAAAGAAACGTTTTTAATAAAACAGCTTACGCCTGCTCGAAATAAGATAATGTTTAACAAGTAAAATAAATATATCACTCGAAGTAAACTAATTCCCACGTGACCAGAACAGAATAGTCTGTTATTTATGTGGTACTGGCAGGGCGTAACGGTCGTGCGAACTAACGAAGGTATAGACAAGCACAGTAATAATAATAATAATAATAATAATAATAATAAATGCCCTGATGTAAGTCTAGGAATGGCCTTCATAGCTTCTATGACCTAGTGCTATCAAAAGGAGGTCTCTCGTGTTTTCTCTACCCTGAAACTAAATATCAACATCACATCGTTGATATTATTTAAAAAATAAGAAAAACAAGCAGAGGGGAATCTTGATCATCAACTGGATGCATAAAATCCAAGGCCAGCAAACTTGTATTAGAGAAGGAACAAAATACATCAAAGATGGAACAAATAACTCTTTCATGACAAAAGAGAACACGCGGCAATATTCCTAGTGGGTAATCTAATGTTGAAATATAATTTTCTTTTGAGTTTTGAAGTAATAAAAATGTTGTTCTTCTTTCACAATTGAATCCATGGTAGATGATACTCAACTTTTGTGCATATAGATGTTTTTGTGGATATGATTACTCGAGGCGGTGATATACGTGTTTTATTTTGTATCGTTGAAGTTATATTTTGGAATACAGTTTGATTTCTTTAAGAAATCGTAGAATATTATATGGATTAATGGATTAGGATATTATATGGATTAATGCCATAAAAGAGTTCTTTCATGTTGGTTATTTCGTTTATTTCGATTAGTAGAATATCAACCTCTATGGATTATTTAATACCGGAATTAAAATTATATGCATTCAACTACAGATAAAATGTATTGTTGGTCATTTTGCTATAAAATATATTGTTGGTCATTTTGCTATAAAATGTATTGTTGGTTATTTTGCTATAAAATGTATTATTGGTTATTTTGCTATAAAATGTATTGTTGGTCATTTTACTATAAAATGTATTGCTGGTCATTTTGCTATAAAATATATTGTTGGTTATTTTGCTATAAAATATATTGTTGGTTATTTTGCTATAAAATGTATTGCTGGTCATTTTGCTATAAAATTTATTGTTGGTCATTTTGCTATAAAATGTATTGCTGGTCATTTTGCTATAAAATGTATTGCTGGTCATTTTGCTATAAAATTTATTGTTGGTTATTTTGCTATAAAATGTATTACTGGTCATTTTGCTATAAAATGTATTGCTGGTCATTTTGCTATAAAATTTATTGTTGGTCATTTTACTATAAAATGTATTGCTGGTCATTTTGCTATAAAATGTATTACTGGTCATTTTGCTATAAAATGTATTGCTGGTCATTTTGCTATGAAATGTATTGCTGGTCATTTTGCTATAAAATGTTTTGTGCATATACATGTTTTTGCGGATATGATTACCCGAAGCGGTGTTGTATGTTTTATTCTGCAGTTTTGTTGAAGTAATATTTGGGAATAGAGTTTAAGAAATTATCGGATATTATATGGTTTAATGCCATGAAATAGATATTTCATGTCGGGTGTTTGGTAGTATTTTAAATACATTTGGATGAAGTCGATATAATTTGTTAGTATGTGCGTATTGTTGGTAAACTTACTATAAATAGGTATTGTTGGTAATTTTTTAACCTCACAAAACAGTGAATGCTGGTTAATCTCCCAACTGACGAGGATAAAACTGATGGCAGCAGAAATATAGTTCGACATAATTCTACTGAAATTCCCACAGACAGAACGATTGAGCAACAAGAAATGCTTCAGGAAAATGGCAACAAGAAGAAATTATACTCAGAATTAGAAAACTTTTGGCGGTTTTTTGTTATCTTAGCTGGGACCTGAAACAGGTACTAAAACCCCGGAATACCATATAAATACCATAAATACAAAATAACATGTAAATACCAAATAAACACTAATAGAATATGAATACCAAAATTATCCTATAAATACTAAATAAATACCATACATATATACCAAATACCATATAAATATCAAATACAATATAAATGCCAAATAGATACCATATAAATACCATATAAAGATCAAGTACAATATCAATGCCAAATAAATAACAAATGCCATATAAATACAATAAACAACGAAATATATAATAGACATTAAAATATAATATAAATATCAAAATGATTTATAAAGAGAAAATAATACCCCTACACGCAAGCCCCAATCTGCCACTAGGTGGCATGTCACAAGACAAATGCTGGCGTTGCCATCGGGGGCCCGCGAGTGTGCCACCAGCGTGTAGGGACTTTATAAACAATATAATAAATAATGAAATAATCCTGATTGCATTATTAGACGTCGTTATATTGACGCTGGCGTTGTAGTGGTCGCGGGGATTGGGATATTTTTGTGCCGGACACATATGCATAGGTATAAGTATAGAAGCGTCGCGTAAATATCACACCCTGCCCGAGTGAAGAGGCCCAGTAAAGATGTATACTATCCTGACGCAAAAGTTCACTTTCAGCCGGAAGTTCACCTCATGTTAGATAGGAGGAGGTACCCGGCCCTAAGGAATTCAAACATGTGGCAGCACTTTCCTAATTGCTCTAAGACAGGTGTAATATCAACGCCAACGTATCAGTAGTCTCAGCGTCTGGGCAAATTTCGCCTTGGCACATGTATGTGT